TCCGCCGTTCCGTGTTTTAGGATTTGGGGTCATTTTCCGCCATTCCACCATTCCACCGTTCCGGCTTTTAGGGTCGACCCACAACAACAACACAATCTGTTTTTGGCCAAGAGAGAAGTTTATTCAGCTAGATCCTAGAATAATAAAATAGGACCGAACAGTAACAAACAAGGAAGCGAAATAAACTTCTCTGCCACCAAAATCGGCCAAAAACAAACTGAAAGAACGATAACTAGAACGAGTGCAAGAAATTACAGCGGCAAAGAAACAATGGCAGAACGTAATTGAGTCGCGAGAGCGAGCTTGGATTTAAGGCTAAACTCTAAATACAGCTTATAAGAGTCACTGGACCAATCGCCATACAATTGTATTAACTCGCCGGGTACGCCGCAACTAAAAGCCCAAGAGGCCGCGCCACGTCGAAAGGAGTGACCGCGGTAACGGTCGGCATGTGGAATACCGATGTGAGAGAGACACGTACGAAACTGTGAAACAAAACTGCGCTTAGTAAGCGGCACTACACCCGAGGGACCCGGTAAAAGAAAAACCGGGCAGGAGCGGTGAGCGGGAATCAACTCAAGCATACGGCGATATGCGCTGACAGGACATAATGGACTGCCAGGAATACTAAGTAAAGGAATATGAAGCAATCGTTCGCCAAACTGAATTGTTTTTGTGCACCGAAATGTAACAAAAAGCCCCTGGGCGGTAAAAACCACATCACCCCGAGTCAGGTGACGGCGGGGATCAAATTGCCTGAGTGATGGCGGCACGATATTAGCTAGACGAGCCATAAGGAAAAAGGCAAACAAAAAGGCGCATAATAAAGTAGCCGAACGTGGATCACCGTTCAACAAAAGAAACAATGAAAGCCGAAGCAAAAGAGAGGGAGAAACCGGCGGTGCACGACGCGGTGTGTGGAAAGCTCGGCGAGCAATACCGCGTAAAGTGAGGGAGAGGACGAAATCTTTGGTGAACGGGTAATCCGCGCCCGAAAATAAATGCAGCAACTTAACGACACTTAAATAATTACGAATAGAAGGGGGGGTTAAAGTACGACTTAAAAATTAGACATATAGACAAACTGTCGTTAACTCAGCCGGGACTGGGGTTAGTTCAAAGTAAAAACAAAACAAAAAGAAAGCCTTGAATTGAGTGCGTAAGTTACTATACGTCCCACAGCTGTAAGCAGATCGCTGAGAATGTTTAAGATCCCGTCGAAGCCTCCTAAGTTCTGGAGAGCCTAAAACGATAAAAGGCTGAGTCAGAAATCATTGTCAAATTGAAACATATCATCAGGGACAGGTACAGCTTGTAAATTGACGTGTTGCGCGTGGGCTAAAAATTCAGTTCTTCCCGCAAGGGTGTTCGAGTCCCAGCGCGAAAGAATGTCGGCATAGCAATTTGAGACACCAGGAACGTGAACAGCACGAATTTCGAATTCGTGAATAGCGGCAAGATAACAAAGTTCGCGCAAACATGAGTTTAGGAAAGAGTTCCGGCACCGTCCAGTATTGAGTACAGTCACGGCCACCTCGTTATCGCAACGCACTGTTAAACGTAAACCGGACCACCGCAAACCCCATAACTTCAAGGCGACAATGATGGTCAACAGTTCAAGGCAATTAATGTCAAGAGTTTGTTGAACAACGAACGACGGAAAAGCTGCATGAAAATATTGGTCGCCACAGAGTCCTCCGCAGCCCGTCAAACAGGCGTCGGTAGTAAACACTTCGCCCGGAGAGGACCATTGTGCTGTAGAAATCATTGAGACGCCATTATAAGCTCTGAGAAAACGGCGCCACCACGCGATATCCTTGCGAAATTCCGCGGTCAAGTTGACATGATGATGATTGAAAAGAACCTTACGTAGAAGAATGAGAATACGGGCGATAAAGATGCGACTCTGACGCACACACTTGGAAATAAAGATCAGTTTTCCAACTAGAGACTGAAGGGCAGCCTTCGTTGCTGTTCGTTTGTGAATCCATTGCTCAAGCAATTGTTCAAGTTCGCAGAGTCGCCCAGGGCTCACCGAAAGAGTTAATGCGTCTGTGTTCAACTCGACACCTAAACAAATCATAACTGGAGAGGGCGGGCATGCTTTTTCTGAAGATTCTTGTAACCCGAGTGAAGACAATAACTCGCTAAGGGCCTGAAAATCCGTTTGTGCGTTAAAGGCCGGAGACACGCCGATGAAATCGTCTAAATAGGTAAACACCACGCGTCCTTGTTGTGATGCGACCCAGGCAACAGCAGCAGTAGAGCGTTGGCACGCCATAGCGGCAGAGCGCAACCCCATCGTGAGAACGGTGTCGAAATAAAACTGTTTGTTCCAAGTGTATCCCAGAAAAGGATAATCTTTGGGGTCCACTGGGAACTGGCGGTACGCCTTGCGAAGGTCACGCTTGTACAAATAACAACCACGGCCCAAAGTAACAACGGCATCCACAATGTCATCGATTGTAGGATAGCGTAATGAAAGTGGTGCCCCCAAATACGAGTCACTAGGAATATCATCATTTACTGAATGACCGGACGGCCAACTCAAATCCACGATAACCCGTCTCTCCTCGGAATCCCGCTTTTCCACGGTATTGAGAGGGTCGCGAATTCCCACGTAGACTCTGTGACCCCCTTCTGCAGTATGATTTTATCGTGTCAGCGGTCGTCTCACTTTAGTAATAATAAACAAGGATCTGCCTGCAGTCAACCAGCGGTATCACAATTGATTACTCTACTCTGATCAGTTGGGTTCCGGAGTTGAAACCTTGCAGGATTTTGTTAAAATTTACGTTAAGAAAAGGCGAATTGAATGGCAGATTCAAAGAGGAGGTAAGTACATGGGTAAAAAGGAATGCTTTATTAGAAAACTGCAGAACTTTTCCGTGTATAATTTTTAATACAGTAAAAAAGCTGAGCTTCCAAGGTGGCCATATATACTTTGCCGTTAAGATCAGGAATAGGTTCGTCTGTTTGATAGTCTACTGGCCCATTGAAAACTTAGTAGTTGACATCAGTTAAAATTAAGAACAAGTAAGCATTATTATCGTAAAAAATATACAGCTTTTAGAAGCTGGCCAGTAAGGTATTCTTGGCTTATTGCAGAGGGAAATGTAATGGTTTCATATTAATAATTAGTCATGGTGAAGAGCAGGTCCTTCACAATAACAGTTTGAGTTGGTGAAGGGGGGACTCAAGTGTGTTCGCATGAGCTGGGAAAACTTGGATTTCAAATTACTGCAGGGAGGGGGGAGTTGGACAGAGGGGTCTGAACATCCTGATTCCCATACCCTTATTAAATGGCTCTTGTCTCTGTTTTATTTTCATTGCAAAAGTTTTTGCAATTTTGCTAAAAATTTTACCCAGTTCCTGCCCCTCTTGCCTTCAGTACACCTCCATTCCCTATTCTCATCGGTTCCCATCCCCCTGTCCCCCACCAAATAACTCTTAGATACTGGGAATTGCTTTTGGAATTAGGAAAGAAAGTGTTTATACACAAACCAGTGACAAACGTGTTATACCCGAAATGCAGTGGTTTTTTTTTGTTTTTTTTGTTGTTAACAGTACAAGGATATGAATTATTTAGAACCGGACCTTCTTAATTTTATCGTCAACTCCAATTTGATAATGGGTGGGCCAGACAGGCAATAGGAAGGTTGCCAGACTTTTGCTCAAACATGGGTTGTACTAAAAAAAGACGAAACTACCGACATCATAAAGAGAGATTTTACAAAGCTGTTACATAGCGCGATTATTGAAATATTGAAAAACTTTCCGCAAAGCAAAAAAGATGATTTTTTTTCCAACTGAGATTTCCGGCACTTGCGACTGGAGTATTTTATAAAGAGGCTGTCAAAACGACGTTTATTAAGTTTTCTTTTTATGTTCACCACAGACCTCAGAGCCCGGTGTTTTCCAAGTATGTTCGGAAATTCTCCCTTGTGTTTTATTTTATGTGTAATGAATCCTGAAAACTCGATATCTTTTTCATTATTTCAAATGTATTTTTTACACTATAGATCTTTATTTACCTTCGTATAATAATTTACTCCCCAGACATCAACTGTTTTATGTTTCTACCCTCGTGTCATTCTTGGAACTTGATTTTGGTAAATTAAAGATTTCTGGAGACTCAAGCTTTCATAATTTTGGGCTGCTTTCTTTGTTTTTCAAAAAAAAAGAAAAAAGAGTGCAAACAAAACAGATCCGGTCCACACGCGCATGTTTTTCACAGCGCCTTGTCTTTTCTTCCAAACCCATGTAAACTGTTAAAAACCTTTCGGGCCGAGGTTAAAGAAAAATGTGATCATTTTTAGACTACGAAAAACGCTTTATTAAATAGTCGCTAAATCTTGACAACCGTGAATGATTGTTGACTTTTATGACGATGATTTAGCATTTCTTCGTACTCATTTTTCACCGGTGGAAGTTGTGCAATAGTCTGTCAACGCACGTGTGGAACGGATACTGTAGATGCCTTCGGATAATTACCGAAATTAAAATCCTGGCCACTTGATGGCTAACTTTTATTGAACTGTTGCGACATAATATTTCGCTTTCATTTCTTCATTAAAATATGGACGTCGCATCTGGGCTCCATAAATGACTAGAATATTTCCGCCTTTAACAAACAAAAGGCAGCGAAAGGTCAAGTTATTTTGTAATATAAACATGAAAACCCTGGCATGGCCTGCCTTGACTGTATTCGTC